GCACCACTGAGGCCATATGTTTTCTACTCCAAAGCAAAGAAATGGATGATATGAATCAATATTATTGGAGATCTTATGATCATTTTCTGATACAGAGTGATTTAAGTTCTACTAATTCTGATAATACTCTGAATTAGCATGATGGTTACCAGCTTATTCCATGGAAAAACATTTTCAAGCTTCTGGCTTACATTCAAGATGCTCGATTACGGTGATTATATTAAAAAACGATGAATCGTATATTGAGAGACACACAGAAGTTTCGAAAATAGAGAACGGATTAACCAGATGATTTAAGCATCTAAGTGAGGAGCAGATGGTTCCTGAAAGTTTATATGAATAACTCAGGCCAACGGGCACGTACACACGCAAAGATTTTATGGCCTACCTAAATTACATAAACAGAGGTAACGTTAAGTTCAAAACCTGATGTTCTAGCTAGATGCTTGTGCAGATAGTGAAACATAACGTCAAAGATGTATCTGAATTCGTAGACAAAATCAAAGATATTAAAATCAAGGATAAAACTATGATGTCTTTGGACATAACATCTTTATTCACAAATGTACCTCTAGTACAAACGATTCACTACATATGTGAACACACGCCATCCCAGAGAAAATCCTAAAAGAATTATCATTTGGGTGTATCATGAATGGAAGTTTCAAGTTTAATGGTACACTTTACAGACAAATGGACGCAGTGACGATGAATTCCCCCACTGACTCCCACTTTGGCAGATTTCTTTCTGAGTAAACGAGAAAAAACACCTATGAGCAACTTTGTCAGAAAATTTTCACTTTATTGTGGATATATGGATGACAACTTTGTTCTTTGTGATAATAATTCGAATAGGAACACAATAAAAAAAAACTGAATTCAATGAAACACATTCTGCAATGAAATTCACGTGCAAAGAAGAATCTCAAAATAGAATCGCCTTCCCAGCTGTCCTCCATACAAGAAAACTAGATGGTAGTATATAGAGAAATGTGCATAGGAGAAGCACATGGACAGGACAATATATACATTTTCATATCTTTGTCCCCCTCGAGTATATAGGAAATTTTGTAAGGACCCTCAACCACAGGGTTTGAGCTATATGCCCAGAAGAGGTAATTGTATATGAACTAAGGATTATATATTACACCTTGACTGAAAATAGCTATTCAGACAAATTTATAAGAAGAAATATGGCATAGAGAGTTGAAAAGGACTAATCACTACCCGTAAACAAGAAGCCTCTTTCTATACGACTGAAGTTCAAGGGCGATATACCTAGCAAAATAATTACGAAGAAGCCAAGAAAATCAGTTCAGAGTACTTTGAATGCTCGCAAACTACAAGTCTTATTTTCTACACGACTAGTTGTGATTTCCCAACTGAAAGATGAAGTACCTAGACTAGCCACTTCTAATTGTATCTACCAATTCAATGGCACTTGTCGAGCGATTTATATTCGCCCGTCGCTCTAGGAACTTGAATTTTGTATACACTGGAGAATACCTACCATATTGGTTAAATAAATGTGTAGTGAAAAGCATCTTTACCTCGATAATAGACCGCCTGATCAAAACTGGCTAAAAGTTAACATTGGAGCAACCTTCTGTATCAACCTTTGGGTGCCAAATAAATTGCTAAAAACATCGAACTACTGCACGCAGCAGAGGCTATCGTGATGCGCTTTAAGCAACCGGTGCTCTGTAAGCAGAAGAAGCAACCAGCCAACCAGCTACTTCTACTGCTCTAGCCAGCCTTCAGCGGAGACTATGAATTCATGAGTTTTTATTATTATCTTACCTAATTTGCCTGCTAATATCCGGTGCAGTCTATTGTTATGTTGATGCCATTGAACTATAATCCATGGATTTTATTGTTTTTATTATTATCGATTCGATGTTATGTAAACAACATTAATGTTGTTAATAACACTAATTCATTCACTATTATGCAATATATTACTGTAGAACCTGATGAAGAAAAAGTTATCGAAAAGAATATTCTTCGTTCAGTAAACATTATTTTCAAGATTTATGTTTTCTGCAGTTAGGTGATACTCCATAGTAGCATGACGATTCTCACCCTATTCCATGCAACAATGTCTCATGCAGAATAGACTTCCCAATGTTGAACAGACTACAACAACTTATCTCGATTTACAAACAAATAAATATATAAAAATAACTCTCTGTTTATTTGCTGATATAAGAGTTGCTATTTCTCTTCTCTGACATCTGCCTGTCACCAGAATTCTTCAGACATTCGCTCTAAGCACCCCGAAGACTCTCTTTTGATTGTCTACACCTATCGATACCTCTCACATCAAATGTGTCAAACAATGACCTGATCAATAAATGTCATGTTTTGTTTCACGACATCTGCATATGAAATCTGGTTTACTACAGACTTTGATGCCTCATTCATTCTCTTCCAATCAAGATATTATCAATATATGTGTGTAAAACTTGAGTACTGTGGTAGTAAGTCTGTCTGTCTGTCTGGATTCAAAACAGAACTCGGCACCGAAGTGCAGCAGTTCCAGTTGCCACGTTCCAAATAGCACACAAAGGTAGACAAGAAGATGAGTGAAGAGAATCAATAGAGTTCGACAAGTATAAGAGCGAAATGGGTAATGGTAGGAAGGAATATGAAAGATTACAGAGACTGAATACATCTGCGCTGGCCATTGACAACGATTTTGAGCCATGTCACCTATTGTCTCCAGCCATTGATTCCTAGAGTCCCGAAGGCCCCAACCCGGAAGTCTGCATCTCCCTACCTGACCGACTCAGTTTAACTGTCAAGGATTTCATGGATTGATGAGGCCATGTTTTTGTTTGGCCACCACTTACTCTTTTCCAACCTGCACCTATGTCGCCTAGTAATGCCCGTCGGGGGAGGCGATGGTTAGTCAGGCATGCGCAGCACGTGACCTAGCTGTCTAAATCTATGTAACTTTTTAGCCTCGTCGATTGATTTCCCCTATTTGCCTAACACTCTACGCCTAACGTCAACATTACTTACCTTATTATACCACCACCTAACGTGAGAAAGAGATCGTAGACATCTATGATCAAAAACAGTCAACTTTTTCATGTCTTCAACTCGTATTGGCCATGTTTCAGAGCCATAGAGAAGAACGGAGCGAACTTCCGACCAGTACACACGTTCCTTGGTTGATAACCGGTGTCACGCCTACGCCTACGCCAGAGATGGTGTACGTCAGCTGTAAGTCAGATGGTGGTAGTAAGTAATTCCATATTATTTTGTTTATTAGATGTATCACACAGTGAAACAGTATTATTTACTGGATGACAATGTTTCAAACACAGTTTATTATCGTTCATGATCATGTCAATTATAGTCACAACTTCGAAACTTGAGTTTTATAGTTTTCTTTGTTCTCTCCTATTTGTCGTAGGGGTAGGAGAATTTTCCAGATATCTGAGACAGTTGTTGAACCATTCCTATTACATGTATTTGCAGCTGATTTGATAAACAAAGTTTCTGTTACCAATCTCTCCCTCCACTCTGTGACATTAGATTTGAAAACTCTCATCCTATCCTATCATCTGATTGTGTGGGCGTGTGTAATTACATGCAGTGAGTGATACATCTGAACTGTTCTCTATATTTCTTATATTATTCAGGTCAACCAATGTGTGATACATCTAAATAAAGAAACTAATATGGAATAATCTAGATTCTGCCCCTGTTCTACTACTTTGACCTATGTATTCGACTTGACAATCATTCCAGCAGGGTATTATTATTACTATATCCTTTAATTCCTAGAGGAACATAGGGCTTCAGCCACGCGTCTCCATTGCCTTCGGTTTTCTGCCAACTTTTTCACTCCGCTCCAAGTCTGCCCACATGCTTTCATTTCCTCTTCACATGACCTCCTCCAAGTCACCCTTGCACTGATGACCGACTCGCCGCTTCCTTCTCGGTTTCCACTCGAGCGATGCCTTGTCTAGTGATGTCACTCACTTGATGGTTTCCTCAGAGTATGGCCAATCCAATCCATCTCCATTTCTTTTTGCTTATTTGTTGCACAATCGGTTCCCGGTTAGTTCGCTCAGTGCCAGAGATCCCTGTTGCTGATCTTTTCTGATTGGCCATCTGATCTTGAGTATTAGATAAACTAAATTGTTTTGTTTTAACGGCTCCACAGGATTGATTCTCTAACCGACAAAGTTTGTTTCTAATTGAGTCTGTGGGTTTGAATGCCAGTTACTTTTATTCCTGCTTTCATTATCAAGAATTCTGAGTAAGATTTCTGAGGTTCCTTCCTTGTATGGAATTACTACTGATGATTTAGATTCCTTATTATTGGTGTTGTCTTGCGCATGTTTGACATGCATGTCGTCATTAATATTATTATTATTGACTATAGTATACCAATATATGTGTAAATGCGTGCACCATGGTAGTAATTAATTCCATATTAGTTTGTTTATTAAATGTATCACACAGTCAGCGAAACAGTATTATTTACTGGATGACAATGTTTCGAACAAACTTTATTATTGTTCATAATCATATCAGCAATTATAATCAAACGACTTCAAAACTTGAGTTTTCTAATTTTCTCTGTTTTCTTGTTGGGGTAGTCGAATTTTCCAGATGTCTGGGTGGACAGGTGTTGAATCATTACTATTATATGTATTTGCAGAAACTTTACATGTAAACATGTAAAGCTTTATTTATCGAATCAACTGAGAATACGTATAATAGGAATGATTCAGCAACTCTCCCAGATATCTGGAAAATTCTACTGCCCATACAGCGACAAATAGGAGAAGACAAAGAAAACTTTAAAACTCAAGTCTCAAAGTCGTGTGATTACAATTGCTGATATGATTATGAACAACAATAAATTTTGTTCGAAACCTTGTCATCCAGTAAATAATACTGTTTCGCTGACTGTGTGATACATTTAATAAACAAACTACTATGGAATTAAAAGATATTATGAGTATAAATTAAGAAAAAATTATATTTTTTATAATATATATTATGAAATTTAAAATAATAAGGCCATAACTTTTTTAGAAAATCCAGTTCTTCTCCCAGAATTATTAATAATAATAATAATAATGTAAGTATAATAAAAAGAATAAAATCAAAATTTGTCTTAATACATCCTGAGACAGACAGGAAAATTAAAAGTCCTAAGACAAAAGGTTAAGGAAGACACGTTCATGTTAATGAGTGAATAGGTATTCAACAAAAGCAAAAAATAAACAAATAGAAATCTTTTTTATTTTTTTTTTTATTTTTTCCCATTCACAGCAGCAGATTTATTCGATGGTTTACCTGAACTGTTTATTCCACCATTTTTCTTTAAATATTCACCAACCAGCATACCAGGTAGTTCTTGTAAGTAGGCATATTCTTTTTCTGTAAGTGAAACTTGATCCACTTCAAGACGATTCACCAGGGTTACACAAACTAGAACAGCTGAGAAAGTAAAAATTCAAAACACGCAAATACACAAAAAGGTGGTAGTTATTCATCAAATATAGATGAATAGATGATGAAATCCTCTAAGCAATCAAACAAACTTCCCTACAAAAACCAATACTTAAAAAGTGATTTGATGTGCACTTGCGACATGAACGCCAAACTGGGACCACTTAACACAGGAAGGGAACTCATCATGGATAGAGAAGCTCTCGGGGAAATGAATGAAAATGGAGAACTCTTCGCCGACTTCTTCGCCTTCAATGAACTAGTAATTGGTGGCACCGTATACAAACACAAAGATATCCACAAAGCTACATGGGTGTCATCAGATGGGCGAATCGAAAACCAAACTGACTTCATCTCAATGCTGCTCAAGGAAGTGGAGGCGCAGCCTACTGGACACAAACGTAAGGAGAGGAGCAGACGCTGGCTCAGACCACTATCTCGTACAAGGGACAATCCAAATCAAATTAAAAGCTTTCAGGGAAACAGGAGCTGCAGGTAGACCACAAGCCAAGTTCAACACTCAAAAGCTGAAGGACCAGGCTACAAATGACATCTTCATTGAAAGCATAAAGGACAAAGTCGAGACATAAATCAACACTAGCGAAGAGGTCGACGTTGAAAAGCACTGGAACAACTTGAAAACGGTGTGGAGTCAAACCTGCATGGAAGTTCTAGGCAGAAAAAAGAGACAGGACAAACAGTGGCTCACTAGGGACACACAGAGACTAATGGAAGAGAAAAGGCTGGTGAAACAAAAGATTATCCAGTGCACCGACGAGCAACAAAAACAGGAGTTGAATGCAAACTACAACATACTGAACAAAACAGTAAAGAAGAGTGCGAGGGAAGACGAAAGAAAATATTATGAAGCCATGAAAAGTGAAACAGAACAAGCTGCAGTGCAGACAAAGGAAACCTGGCAATATTCTACCAAACAACTAGGTTCGTATAGGGAAAAGGCTGAACACAAATTCAGCTAGTGAAGAATGACAATGGAAAATCAACTTCCAAAGAGGTAGGCTAGAGGAAAAACTGGTCTGAACACTTCAAAAGACTTCTAAAACGACCACCTACAACGAGCCCAACAATAACAACAATAAACATCAACCCCGCAATGAGAATGGAATTCCTGAATGCAATCAAGATGCTAAAAGCTGTAAATACAGAAGGACCAGACGGAATTCCAGCAGAGGCATTGAAAATAGACCCAGAGACAACAGCGGACTTGATGAAGCCACTAATGGAGAAGGTGTGGAAAGAGGACGAGGTACCTACGGATTGGAAGAAAGGCTGCTTATTCAAACTACCAAAGAAAGGAGACCTAAGTCAATGCAAAAACTGGCGTGGAATTATGCTCCTATCCATCCCAAGCAAAGTACTAAGCCGCATCATCCTGAAGAGAATCAAACACGCCACCCTGGGTGAAAAACTTTGACCGGAACAGGCTGGATTCAGGAGAAACAAGTCATATAATGATCGAATCGCCACACTAAGGATCATCTTTGAACTAAGCTTGGAATGGCAGTCACCTCTATATCTGAACATTCATCAACTTTAAAAAGAGGCCTTCGACAGCGTCGATTGAGAGATGATTTGGCAACTACTTCGCTACTACCAATGGGTGCCGTCAATAATTATACATCTCATCCAACAGTTGTATGACAATGCTGCCTGTCAAGTAACCCACGACGAGAAACTCACGGAATCCTCCGAAATGAACATGGGAGTAAGACACGGCTGGCTGGCTGGCTGTCAACTATCTCCAATGATTTTCCTGATTAAGGGCGGTAGATTGGATAATACAACAGACAGTGACGGGTAGCGAAGAAACAAGCATAAAATGGACACACATACACAAAAGACTTGGAGGATTTGGACTTCGCCGATGATATATGTCTGATTTCCCACAAACTGGAAAATATGCAAGTGAAAAGTAACAAGTTGGCAGAAGACGCATCAAAGATAAAACTCCAACTAAACATAGAAAAAACAGAAGTGATGAAGATTCCTGACCAACAACAACAGACAACAATCAGCATGATTGGGAGGAACCTGAGAGAAGCAACCTCCTTTACCTACCTGGGAATCATCGCTTCAACTGCAGACAAACGGAACTGACGAGGATACCAAAGCAAGGATCGAGAAAGCAAGACAAGCCTTCATTACTGTCAGGTCTGTGTGGAGGTCAACAGCAATACTCAGCATGAAAAATAAGATCCAGATTTTCAACTTCAGTGTGGAGTCAGTGCTACTTGCTATACGAATCGGAGACTTGGCGCCGTGCCGCATCACGAAGGTCACTTCGAACAAACTACATCAATAGCTGTCTTCACTCAATAATTCGCTCAAGATCAAATGGCCAATTAGAAAAGATCAGCAACGGGGATCTCTGGCACTGAGCGAACTAACCAGGAACCGATTGTGCAACAAATAAGCAGAAAGAAATGGAGATGGATTGGCCATACTCTGAGGAAACCATCAAGTGACATCACTAGACAAGCCATCGTTCGAGTGGAACCCGAAAGGGAAGCGGCGAGTCGGTCGTCAGTGCAAGGGTGACTTAGAGGAGTTCATGTGAAGAGGAAATGAAAGCATGTGGGCAGACTTGGAGCGGAGTGAAAAAGTTGGCAGAAAACCGAAGGCAATGGAGACGCGTGGCCGAAGCCCTATGTTCCTCTAGGAATTAAAGGAAATGATAATGATTAATAAGATCAATGGAATTTCGGTTCACTAAAGATACATAAATTATAATAATAATAATACAAATATAATAGCAAATAGAATATCAACTAAAATTAAGGAAATTTCTACAAAACGTTGAGGATCATTCAAACCTAGATGACCAAGTTAATGATAATATCTGAATTAGCTTCTTGTGGACGCATGTATTAGTAAACGAACTCTTAGGACAAAGTTAAAATTTGTGGGTATGCTATAAATGACTTCGAAAGCCAAGTTGACATTAATCTTGTGTTCTGTATCTACAAGATGAGATAGAATATCTCTACGAATGGATTTTGTGTGTCCTTTACTTGACAAACCATGCGGGATGATGTTCGGAAATCCAACGAGATTTGTGAACACACTTCATAGCTGACTGATACAATATGGTTAGTATCATTACAAAGCAGTCAAAATATAACTATGATTAGTCTTCAGTTACCACTGTGTGTCTAGTCAAGGCTTGTGTTATCAATTAATGAACCATAAGAGTGTTTAAAAGTAGTTTTACTAATATGATAATAACAGTTTTTCTTCCCTCAATTAATGAATATTTGAAAGTGTTCTTAAATCAGTTACCCCAATCAAATGATGCTATATAATACTGATTGATTTGAGTAGCTTGTAACCCATCACATGAACCACTGGTGCTTATTAGCTAGATCTAAACGGCTGTTCCCCAAGTTCAGCACCAACAGTATCAATTGTTTACCCGTGTGGTGAGAGCAGGCTGCTAGCCAAATGGTGGACACTAGGTCAGTAATATTGGCCGTGAGAAAATATGAACAAGGCTGATTCAACAACCAATCACAGCAGACTTAACGTGGGCAAATAAGATTCGCAAATATATGGCTTAACTTTTCGAGAAACCAGAAACAACCAATCAGAAGACTGTGTTTGTCTGCTTGTATAAACTGTAATAATGTACATGATATATATATATATATATATATATATATATATATATATATATATATATATATATATATATATATATATATATGATCAAAATCCTACTATGTAAACTTGGCCGACAGTGATTTACAAGTTTGTGATCAGTATTATCCTCAAGAAACTCTCACCGATTACGCTGAAATTTTACAAGTAGTTAAACAAAAAAATTAAATAAATATCATGTTACTATTTGTAGTTTTCATTTACCTCGATAACCAACTTGTTTACAATGAGCAGCGATTCCAGTTCCTTCCATTTCTATATTTCTTATTCCATTCTCATAAGCTGATTTAAGATAAGCCTTCTTTTCATCTTCAGTAAAAGAACAGATTGCTCCATCTAATCTTGCCTGTTCTGTAAGATGCCGAAAAGAAAGATCATTGAAATTATTCACATATCAGCTAGTTGTATCCGACAATGTAAGGCATATATAATTAAATCATTCAAATGCATAAAAATGAACTAAAGTTTCCAAGGAAAAGTTTAAATGAAAGTGTAGCATTTCAAATCGCCGTACTTTACACTTCACTCGATGTTCCCGAGTTGAACGTGAATGGGGACCACGAGCTGGGCTTGGGTTCGAGAGTAACACAGAGAAGATGTTTTGAGGAGGGGATGAAGGCTTAAGGGAGATAGTTGAGCTACCTAAGAAGTACTGAAGAGACCAGCTTTCAGTGGAGATATACTGTTGAAGCCCTATGTTCCACCTGGAGCCAAAAGAATACTACGGAAGCTCTTGTCATATGCATCGAAAAGCCGGAGGTGTGTGTTCAAAAGAAACTAGTGCAGCCTTTACAACTACCATGGATCTAGTTCGGTATGCTCCTTTCAGTTTTTTTGTTTTGTTATCTGTGTGTGTAATTTTTTTCTCCCCTTGCCTTCATTCAATTCATCCTAATTTTTCAGTTATAAAATTAGTTATTTTAATTTTGTTTCCATGCTTCTCCTGATCACACTTGTAATCCGTTTAGAATAACCATTTTCAGTTATATTTTAATCCTGTGTAATTTTTTGTTTCTATGCCTCTTGTAATCTTTATTCATACCTCCTAAATTACATTCCAAGTTGAAAATTTTGATCTCAATTGGTTTCCATGCTCATTTTGTTCCCACCTGTAATTCATTCTATCCCTGAGTCTCTCATTCATATCAAGTTGAAAATAATTGTCACCTTTTATTCGCCTTTAAAATTAATTCTCCAATTATCAGATATTAATTTTATGCATACGTTGTAACTATTTTCCAATCCTATGCAATCTTGTCTCTAAGCCCCTTGTAATGTATATATTCGTACCTTCAAACTTTCATATCAAGTTGAAAATTATTATGACCTTGGTTACTATGTGGAATTAAACAAATAAGAATTGTATCCATGTAAACTAATCTATATAAATGCGATTGTACAGGTGCTTTTGAGAATAAAATCGCCGAAAAGATCTCCATCTTTGCTGAACTTCTTGTAAACACAGAAAAATAATTCCATGGAAAATAACGACAAACTAGTGAATCTGGGAGACCGCAAACAGCGAATGCATCTTTTGCAATTGTAAACGATTTTGAGCTATCGATTCTTAGAGTCTCAACCACTTTTCAGCCCAATTAGTTGTTTTCTAATATTACATTGTAAACATCTTCATAAGCGCGTCAAATGAATTCACATCAAATAAATACTGCGTTGGTGGCACAGCAGTTAGGACGCTCGCCAACCATGAACATAGTCCGAGGTTCGATCCTCGGCTGACACTAAGTCAGTGATAGGACTGGCAAACAGGGAAGTTTGGGCATGAGGTTAGCAAATCCATCCTGTAAAAAATAAACGCTGCTACAGAAACTTCAAACCTCTAGCTTGAAGCTCTATATTCCACTGGGAACGTAAAGGAATAAAAAAAAAGGAGAAACAAATGAGGGAGTACAATCCATTCAGTGTTACATGAATGTTTAGCCAGTCATTTTAATTGACCTCAGAATGAAACGTAGGCAGCTTCTTAACCTTTAAAATTTAGATTTTATTGGGTCATGCTGAGAATGCAAAACTAGTCAGTCCTGTTACTGAGATATTTAGTTTTTCTTAGCTCACACCAGCATGCAGATAATTAAATGGTAACTGTTCCACGTTATAACTGTAACTGTATAATGAGGCTAAAAATGAAGGAATCAAGTTTTCCACAATTGATAGTTTTAAAAGTTACAAGAAAATTGATTAAATACAACATTCTTCAAATAAGTGTTTGTTTTGTTTGCTTTGTTTATCAGCTTGATCTAATAAAATTTAAGGTCAGAAAGGTCATCATACACTGCAAAACCTATGTATCTTAAATTCAGCCGAACATGGTAACTAAGCTTTTGTGTAATTTTTTAAATGTTCCACTTCCTACATATATGTGTTGAAATCAAGTTCACTTTTAATAGTTTAAAAACACTTAAGCATTGGGTATATGGTTACTAAATTCATGCTGAAGAATGATGATTAAGTTGCTGACCATAAGTTGAAATTTTGTAAATTCTAGTTTAATAATAATAATAATTCCAGTTTAATAAAGCTATTATTATCATTATTATTCCCTAGCGTTTCGAGTGGGACATAGGGCTTCAACAACACATCTCCACTTTGTCTTAACCTCTACCGTCCTCTTCATATGGGTTCACGATTGATCGAACTTTCTCATCTCCTCATCAATCGACCTCTTCCATATCACCCCCGCACTGACGACTCACTCGTCACTTCCCATTTGTACTCCACTCCAGGGCCTGGCGTGCGATGTTATTCGGTGGCCTCTTCAATGTATGTCGTATCCATTTCCACTTTCTCCTACATATTCGTTCAGTGATCGGCTCTTGACTGTTGGTTTGTTCCACTGCAGAGTTTCTTGTTGCGAATTCTTTCTGGCCAGCCGGTCACTTGATCTTCAGTATGGAGCCAGTGAAGGGGGCAGCTGTTGATAAAAGTCCGCAACCTATTGGAAATCTTTTTCGTCACGCGCAAGTCAAGTTTCTGACCAGTGTAGAAGAACCGACTTGACATTGTTGTTGAAAATGCGAATCTTGTTCCCTATGCTGAGTGCAGAGGATTGGCAAACTGGTTTCAGGTTGATGAAGGCGCATCTTGCCTTTCCGATTCTGACTTCGACATTTTCATCCGTTCCAGTAGCCCGTAGTTGAAACGATGTTTCGTGGTTGGATAAGTGAAGGAAGTAACCTCTGTTATTGGTGCTGGTTGTTGGTTCTGTTGTTGGTGGTGGTTGTCTTCATCACCTCAATCTTTTCTGTGTTCACCTGAAGTCCTGTTTTCGCTGTCTCTTCAGCCAGTTTGTTGGTTTTTGCCTGTAAATCTTCGAGTTTTTGTGACATTAAAAAACATATATCATCTGCGAAATCCAGACCTTCAAGAGTCTTCGTATCGGTGGTCTAGCGTATTCCTGACTCCTCATCCAAAATAGTGTGACGCATAATCCAGTCCACCATAATAAGGAATATCTTTGGTGCTAGTAGTGGGCAGCTTTGTCTTATTCATGTATTCACCCTGAACGCCTCTTTTAGTTTTCCGCAGTTTATCACTTAACTCATGGCATTGTCATATAGCTGTTGAATAAGGTTGATAAAGACTCTATGCATGCCATAGGGTTGAAGTAGTTTTCAAATTAATTCTCGGTCTACGCTGCCTGTCAAAGGCCTTTTTGAACTCAATGAAGTTGAGTTAGAGGTTTGGCTGCCATGCTATGCTTTTCTCTTGTTATGACAATGAGTAGAGTTGTAATTTTATCAGGATATGATTTGCCTTCCGTGAATCCAGCTTCTTTTGGGTGGAGTTTTGTATCCACTGCATCCTTTATTTTCTCCAGGATGATGCTACTTAGTATTTTACTTGGCGTGGACAAGAGCATTATTCCACGTTAGTCAGTTCTTGCGCAGGCCTAAGTCGCCCTTTTTTGGCATTTTGATGACGCAGCCAACCTTTCTTCCAATCAGTAGGCACCTTTCTTTCCCTTCAAACATTTTGCAGTAATGGAGTGAGAACATCTGCTATCATCTCTGGGACCGTCTTGAGTACTTCGGGAGGAATGCCATCTGGTCCTACTGCATCATAAACAATAAAAACATTCACTTGAGCTAAAAATCTTCGCCAATATTTCAAAATCTAAGGTATAAGATATTTTGTCCATAAATAGATCATATAACGAAGAGAACATGAGATCCATTTTGATTCAATTTGGTGGATAATAATTAGCAGCAGAATCCAAATTACAGATTTTTTCGTATTTGGAACTCGTCATCCGTATGTACTGATGATGTTCTCACTGAGACTCGAACCCATCACCCATGATTTCAAATACTAAAGGGTTATACACAGAACAACTGTGTGCAACAGGCGTCAGTTATTATTTGCTTTAATTCACATTTGAATTTCCTGTTGACTGACTGGGCCTAAAATATTTACCCTCTGCTGATATATCAGCACCTAGTATGCACGATATGACGATATCTGAGGATTCACATGTTGCCATTTTTTGTAGATGGTGATTAGCAGAGGAATCCAGGATGAGCATTTCGTCCTTTTCGGGACACCAGTGAGTGCTGGTCTTCTCAGCAAGACTCGGTTTCAGTACCCATCATGTTAAACGCGGAAGCATCCATACTAGGAATTGATATTTCAACAGACGCCGAGCATTTTGGGTTAAACTAATCAAGAAAAAAAATCAGACATTCGAGTGTTGGTTTGTATGGATTTGATTGGTCACAGGATTTTATCATGAGCTGACAATGGTTAGAGAACCACTGGAAAACCACCTGGGAGTACTGGACAGTTGTTTCCCCCGCCCTAGTTTGGGACTCTTCATCAGTACGCACCCACCGGGGAATTCATGGGGCATTGGGTAGGGTCTCAGTGGCTTAATGGTCTACAAGCTCGCTCGCCTTGTAACCAGAAGGTCCTGGGTTCAAACCCCAGGTGTGCATACTGATGAAGAGTCCCAAACTAGGCTGACGAAACAGCTGTCCACTACTCCGAGGTTTTCCAGTGGGTCTCTAACCAATGTCAGCTCATGAAGAAAAATCAGAGTTGAATTAAAAACAAATAAGGGAAACCTGTTTCATCTAGTATTTATAGAAATTACTTATTACAAATCACAACAAAACTGAATGCGTAAAAATATAAACTGGTGACATTCAGCCAGCAATAACACTAGGGACTAGATGTATGACATCGGTCACTTCGTGATGACTAATCAATTACAGTTTACCAAATTAGCTCGTTAGTGACATTTCTGACTCCACCGATAGGTGTTATAGGTTCTAATCTCAAGGAAGAGATTAGTTCCGCCTGTGACGCAGATACACCTTGCTGATGACTGTAAACACGATGGAGAGCTTGATAACTTCCTCCAAACATCGTGTACCATGGGGTATAGTTTTACAGCTACATATCATCACTGTCATGTCGATATACATAATATATACATAATTAAATGAAGGCATTATATTCATTTTGCATAAGTTACCTTCGTAAAAATCATTTGCAGCTATTGTTGCACCAACAACAACATCACATTTTAATTTCATACTTTCAGCTAGACTTTTAAGCTCGTTTACAGCATTCATATCAACAGCAGTTGGACGACGAACAACTTTACCAAGAATACACTGAAATTAAAAATAAAGAAAAGATTTTTACTGTATGCTATACATTTAATGAATTGATAGATAGATAGTCTAATTAAAAATAACATTGTTAAACTACCTGTAAAGATTACACTTTTGTATAATTTATAGAAAAGAAATTTCTCCCACCGGTTCGATCTCAAGTGTTTTAGGGGAAAACTGAAGTATATCAAAAGGTAGATTTTTTCAGGAGATTTCCCATCTTGTATTTAGGATACCTTATTGTTATTTTTATCATTGTTATTATTACCTTTAATTCCTAGAAGAACTTTGGGCTTCAGCCGAACGTCTCCATTGCGTTCAATTCTCTGCTAGAGTTTTCACCTGGCTCCAAGTCTGTCCACATGCTTTCATCTCCTCTGCACATGACCTCCTCCAATTCACCCTTGCACTGACGACCAACTCTGGCGTGTGATGTCACTTGATGGTTTCCTCATTGTATGGCCAATCAACCACCATTTCTTCCTGGTTATTTGTTGCACAATCGGTTCCTGGTTGGTTCGCTCCTACAGATCTCTCCCTTTTGCTGATCTTTTCTGGCCGGCCATCTGATCCTGAGTATTGAGCGAAGACAGATGTTAATGAAGGTCTGTAGTTTGTTTGAGGTGCTCTATATGACGCGCCAAGTTTCTGATCCGTATGGTAAGTAGCACTGACCTCACATTGGAGTTGAAAATCCGGATCTTATTTTCCATGCTGAGTAGTGCTATTGACCTCCACACAGACTTGAGAGTAATGGAAGCCTGCCATGCTTTCCCGATCTTCGCTGCTTTGATATCCTCGTCAGTTCCGTCTGCCTGTAGTTGAAACAATGCTTCCCAGATAGGTAGGTAAAGGAGGTTGTTTCTTTATTTAGGATACCTATTCAAACATTACTTATGAAATGTCATCAGTAGCCATACTTGTTATATTTTAATTTTGAAGATTTCACTGAAAAAGTTAGGAGCCATTTAATGAGTGAAACATTGTAACGATTTATTTAATTGTCACATATGTTTACTTCTCACTCGGTGCCCAGTCTGCGTGGAATCATTAGGTGAAATCCTGATCAGATTCTATGAATAATTAGACTAAGTATACAATTGGTGGATGGTGGCTAGCAGTGGAATCCAGGATGCGCATTTCGTCCTATTTGGGACTCGTCACTGGATGTACCTGCATTTCTCAGTGAGTGATGATGTTCCCACCGAGGCTCGAACCCAGTGCCCATAGTCTCAAATGCTAGCTACCATCCACCAATTGTATACAAATTAAATCCCCAGACATCATCGAAGCATCTGCACAGAAGCCGATATGTCAACCTGAGACCGAGCACTTCGGTCCAATCAATCGACGGGAAAATCAAAAATTCAATTCAATAATTTAGACTAAGTGTTTATGATTAGTTCAGTTAAATAAATCAATAATTTATGAGTTAGTTATATAATCTATACCTACATTTTCTATATGTGTACACCTTGTATCCACTATTTTGCGCGAAAACTATCATTGAATAAGAGTAATGTTTAATGAAAAACTGAGGGGATTTCAAATTAGTTCAACGAGAGAACCATTGAAATTCAGGTAGTACAGGACAGTCGTTTCATTCCAGCCTAACACACTTCGACAGTACACACGCACAATTCCCCTAAAGGGCTGAACGTGTAACCTTCAGACTATGAGGTGAGCCCACCGAACACTCAACACCCAGGACAGAATCAGATGACTCGCGAGTTCTAACTTCTTTCATTTTCTGAGGACCGACCAATACCCGAAGGTGACATTGTATGATGGTAGAGCTATATGTGTACCGCTTAAGAGTCACCAACTAGGATTAAAAACATCTGCCCAGTACTTCCTCATTTTTTGATGATTTTCTAAGTAATGTCAGTCCATTATATTACATGAAACCAGCGAAACACTTCCTGGAAATATGCTTTACAGCTGAAGAAAATTGGAGATCATGTGATAGCAAATTCAGATGAGATGCTAGGCTTCATCTTGTAGAGGAGTATGATTCACCCTAAATTAAGAGCTAAAACTTGTCATATCTTTGCTCGTAGTGATTCTATGGCTAGTGAAATGTATGAAAAAGTTAAACTTGAAGTGAGTCAGTTGATCTGAATGCCTCACAACACATGGTCTCTTTTTGTATATCTGAGAACAAAAACGTTCGTGTTAAAGGCTGACAGGATTGGTTGGCTTTCAAACAGTATGCTGTTAATCATATTATAGTCAAGTGAAAGTAAGTGTAGTTACGAAAACTGTACCAAGTTTTTTCGTGACACTGAGAAATTCAACTGGAGTTACGTTCGCAAAATGGCATAAGTCTATGTTCTATTGAAATGTCTTTCCATTCAGTTTCAAGTGAATTATTCTCTTGAATCGTCTTACATGATATATATGGTTTTATTTTGCTTTTCAGATTTAGTAATCCATACAGATCAAGAAACATTGTCAGTCTTAATCCAGTTCAAAGGCGTATAATGGTTACTTAGTCATCGTAGACAATGAAAGCACAGGAATTATTATTATCCCCTGGGGTTCAATTGCAGTTTTCCTCAACTGGATCCCCGATCGCCCACAGTCTCTCATCTCCTCCTTGCACCATCTCCTCAATATCACCCTCGCACCGACGACCTACTCGTGACTTGCCATTAGGATTCCACTCAAGCGATGGCCTATATTGCATACCATTCATTCAACGGTCTCCTCAGCGTATCCCCGATCCATCTCCATTTTCTCCTACATATTTGCTGAACAATCGATTCTTGACTGGTTTGTTCTTCTGCAGAGTTTCTTCTCCCTAATCCATCCTCCCTGCTCATTTGACTTCCAGTATGGAGTCAGTAATGGCAGATGTTGACAAAAGTCTCTAGCTTGTTGGAAATCCTTTTCGTGACGCTAGGGCAGTGCAACTTTCTGACCCACATAAAAGAAATGACTGACTGACTCAGCATTAGTGTTGGGAACCCAAATCATGCTGACGTGGAGTGTAGAAGATTTCAAAACCGATTTCAGATTGATAAAAGCATATCTTGCCTCTCCGATTCTGATTGGCTGCCCTTGACATTTTCATCTTTGCTGTCGGTTGTAGTTCTAACAATGTTCTCTAGATAAGTGAAAGAAGTAACCACTTCCAGATTTCTCCTGCTGGTGGTGATTGACGTTTTATATTTTTCTTTGGTTATTCTCATCACTTCTGCCTTCTCTATGTAAACCTGGAGTTCTTTTTTCACCAGCCGCCTGCTTCTTCTGCCATTTTGTCAGTTTTCGCCGGCCTGTAAGTCTTTGAGTTTATGTATCATCAAGCATAAATCATCCACACGCGAAATCCATATCTCCTAAAGTCTTCTTATCAATCGATCTAGCGTATTCCTGTCTTATCACTTCCAAGCATAGTCTGCCTCATAATCTAGTCCACTGGAATTAAGAATAAGATCAGTAATAAAAGCAAAGAAATAAATACTATTGAAATGCTACTTACCAATTCTTGAATTGGCTCAAATTTAGTATTAACACAATTATTAGATATAACAAGTGTTCCAGCTTTCACACCTATTATAAATATGCAAAAATATTAGTTAGTAAACTGCTATAATGTTAGTATTATTACTATTTGAAACCATTTCTGCCTAGTACGTTATCAGCAATGTTAGAGACATACATTAAAAAAGAGAACTAAAATTTTCATGCCTCACTTAAAATATCCATGAGTGTATGCCCAAAGTTTCAATAAAATGCTAGTAGGATTTCATCATAAGCTGACACTGGTTAAAGAACCATACGAAAACCTACGAGTACTGGACAACTGTTTCGTCCTAGTTTGGGACTCTTCATCGGTACACACCCTCCAGGATTCGAACCCAGGACCTTCTGGTTACAAGGCCAGCGAGCTCGTAGACCACTAGGCCACTGGGAACTGATCCACTAGCCAGCCCTTGAATTCTAACTTCTGCCAATTCATGACATAGTGCGACCTTTAGCCAATGTCTTTGACGAGTATTTGTCCTCACACTCGACCTCCTGCACCCTACTGGTCACGACTTCTCACTCAGGAGGTTTTGGGTTCGCAACCCGTTGGGTGCGTACTGATGAAGAGACTCAAACTGGGTTGACGAAACAACTGTCCAGTACTCCCAGGTGGTTTTCCAGTGGTTCTCAAACCAATATCACCTCACGATGAAATCCTGTAACCAATCAAATCCCTACAAACCAACACTTGAAAATGGTAACATTTGGATACAAATTCATTAATTAGACTCAGTGATAAGAATGTCGAACAAAGGATCAGAAAAACACGATAGACATTCATTACTCCGAAACCAATATGGAAATCTACTGTATTCAGCATTCTAAACAAGATTTAGATTCTTACCACAGATGCCAAGTCAATCGATGCCTTTATCTGGGTTCAGAGACCTTACCAATCATGAAAAGAATTTCTAACAAACTGACGAGACCATCCAGCGACATTGTACGCCAGGCGCTGGGATGAAACTTGAATGGGAAACTCTAAGTTGGGCGTAACAGTGCGAGGGAGGGTCCCACGAGAGGTATCATGGAAGGTGAAGTAGATAAAAGCTGACACACAATCGTACAGCCACCTATAAAATGACTACAGGGAGGGAATAATAATAATAATTATCTCTAATATTACAAATGTTCACAGTTATATCTAGTAACAAAGAAAATCATTATAGCGGAATATTCATATTTGTTAGTTCAACTATTAGACAAGCTATACAATAAACTATTGTTGTTCTGAATGATATTGTATACACAGCTTACAGTTCACTTGTATACGGAGAAGTCTTCACATGAATGAAGATTTTCAGACCTTAGCTTTTGTAAGGATTTTCATTAATTTCAATGTAGGTTTTCGTCATGGACTGACCCTCTAGAGTTAAACCATGTTATGATGAAGTGAATGCGATAGAGCCCTATCGCCCCCTATGACAGAAGTTAAAATTGAAGGGACACTGAATTCCAAGAAAGTGACTGAGCAGTCAGAGCAATGACTTCATAGCCTGAGAGTCTTGAGTTCTTTCTCTTACAGAGTTAGGGATTCGCACTGCTGAAGATTCTCCAAATAAGACGAAACAGCTATCTGTATCTACTTTTCGGTTTTCAACGGTTCAATATCCGCTGTTGATTTATGATGAAATCTAGATAGAAATAAAAAAGAATATTAGTTTATGTCGTAGTTTTCATTCCTCACTGTATATTTAGTTATCAGTCACCGTCTTTTACTTGACTTGGCTATGAACTTTGCTGTTCTTCTCATGCTGTTCGACTTCACTGCAAAACTATGACAAAGAAGGGCTATACACAGTTATTATTATTGTATTATTGTCTTCTTTTATTCCTAGAGGAACATAGGGCTTCAGCCTCACGTCCCCATTGCGTTCAGTTCTCTGCCAACGTTTTCACCTGGCTCCACGCCTGCCCACGTGCTTTCATCTCCTCTTCACACCACCTCCTCCATGTCACTCAACCCTCACACTGACGACCAACTCCTCGCTTTCCATTAGGGTTCCACTCGAGCAATGAACTGGCGTGTGATGTCACTCACTTGATGGTTTGTTTTCTCGGAGTATAGCCAATCCAATCCACCTCCATTTCTTCCTGCAGATTTGTTGCACAATCGGTTCCTACTGGGTTGGTTCGCTCATTACCAGAGATCCCTCACTATTGCTGGTCGTCTCTGGCAGGTCATCTAATTTTGAGTAGCATTGAGAGAAGAAAACTGTTTGTGAAGGTCTTTAGTTTGTTCAAAGTGCTCTTCATGACGCACCAAGTCTATGATTCTTAAAGTAGCACCGACTTCACATTGCAGTTGGAAATGTGCACCTCATTTTTCATGATGAGTGATGTTGATCGCCAAACATGCTTGAGAGAAATGAAAGTATGCCTTGATTTTCCGGCCCTTGCCTTCATATCCCCATCAGTTCCATCCTCCTGAAGTTGAAACGGTACTTCCAAGGTGGGTACGTAACGGAGGTTGCTTCTTTCGGATTACTTCCATTTATGCTGGTTGTTGTCTCTTGTAGCTGCTGTAGCTGTTGGCCAGGAATCTTCATCACCTATGTTTTCCCTATGTTCACTTGAAGTCCTATTTATCTTCCCTGAATGCTTCCTCTATCGCCAACTGGTTGCTTTTCACTTGCATATCTTCAAGTTTGTGGGAAATCAGATATATATCTTCAGCAAAGTCCAGATCCTCCGATTTGTTTGTATGTGGGTCCATTTTATGCCTGTTTCTTAGCTCCCACCGCTGTCTGTCGCATTATTCAGTCAACCACAATCGGGAAAATCACTGCAGATAGTAGGCAGCCTTGTCCTACTCCCGTCTTTACTTCTTCGAAGGCTTTTGTGAGTTCCCCGTTGTGAATTACTTGGCATACATCATTGTCGTGCAACTGTTGGATTGTTGGCGGCACCCCTTTGTTGTAGCGAAGTAGTTGCTAAATCATCTCTCGATCGATGCTGTGGAAGGCGTCGATGAAGTTGAGATAGAGAGCTAACTGCCATTCTCAAGTCTGTCCAGTGATGATCAGTGATGTTGCGATTTCATCGATGCATGACTTGTTTCTCCTGAATTCAGCCTATCTGATTGGGCGGAATTCTGCATCCAGCGCATCTTTTATACTCTCCGGGATGATGCGGCCTAGTATTTTGCTTGAGATGGACAGGAGCATAATTCCGCGCCAGTTGTTGCATTGACTTGAGTCTCCTTTCTTTGGCAGTTTGAATAAGTAGCCTTTCTTCCAATCCACGGTTACCTTTCCCCCTTCCCACACCTTTCCCAGTAGTCGTGTCATCGAGTCCTTTGATATCTCTGGGTCCATTTTCAATACTTTTGCTGGGATTCCGTCTGGTCCTGCTGACTTGCCATTTTTAGCTTCCTTATAGTCTTCGGGATTTCTGCTCGCGTCGGAGAGTTGATGTTCAGTAGTAGTTCTGCTTCCTCTGTTGGTATTATTGGGTGCGTTGTAGATGGCGGTTGATTTAGGGGTATTTGAAGTGTTCAGCCCAGTATCTTCTTTGCTCCACCTCTTTGGTGGTTGACTTTCCAACGTTATGGTTACACTAACTTTTATGTATAATTAACTTAGCCCACTAATTTATCTAACAATGATCTAATAATTTATGACTGACTACTCTCAAACTTCTCTGTCTGACCTTCCTGTCAATATGTGGAATTGTCCCAAATAGGTCGAAATGCGCATCCTGGAACTCAGTGCGAGTCACCATCCACCAATTAACCTCTAATTACATGCCAAGACATCGTCGAAGCATCTGCACAAGAAGCTGACATGTCAACCTGAGATCGAGCACTTCGGTGCAATCAGTCGACGGGAACATCTAAAATTCAATTTAATTATCCTCCCCAAATGTCCAAATTTTTAGACGAACAGATGGAAGTCTACAAAGACCAATCTACAGTAGTCGGAAATAGAACAAACTTTCATACTTTTTTCACATTAGGCAGAAAATGAAATCCCATCCCTTCTATTAAGACGAGAATCTACAGCAAAATATACTACAGAGACATTGAGTAAAGATTGACAAACGTTCAGAAAAACTCTAATCGAAAATAAATATTCTACATCCTTCATCGGAAAACACTTAAACAAAAAGACCGATAATCCACAAAAACTGGATGTCCGGAAGAAACAACCAGCAATTCTGAAATTCGTGGGCAATACAATTACTTAAGTTCTCCGAAGCCAGCTGTCGAGAACATGCCTATAGATGCTCTTGTTCACCGAGATGGCAAAGGTAAGATCCCTCTGTTTCCAAATTAAGTGTACACTAACCAAGTGAACTTGAACTTGTAGAGACAATTACATAAGCCATAACAGGTAGACGCGCACAAGAAGACTTGCCAGAATACAGATTAGTCACTAACTTAATACTGGAGCACATTATAATTTCTGGTTACCCATCATCAGCAGAGACATCATTCAGAGTTATGTATAAAATACTATCGTGCAGTTTGGAAGCATTTCTCTTTTCACCTTCTTCATATAACCAAAGCCCTATCAACCCATAAAAAAATCCAGAACTTTGTGTTCAGCTTCTTTTACTACCACACCACTTCGTGTCCGTTATGTTTTCCTAATCTCTCACAAAATAAACTCTACTGAGTCTTCTTAGTTTCTTTCTTTCTTCATTTATTTATTGCAAATCATTTTGATCCCTTCGCTGTATTGTTTCTCATCAATTACAGGATTTCATCCTGAGCTAAGAGGGATTAGAGGACCGTTGGAAAACCACCTGGGGATACTAGACTAGATATGTCATCCTGGTTTGCGAATCTCCATCAGTGTACACACACACCGACAGGGCTCGAACTCAGGACCTACCTGCTACAGACAGGTTCGTAGAGTAATCAGCCGCTACGACCCAACTCAATGTCCAACCCATGGATATGGCGCGACCACTACCCACTGTCATCCTTGGTGAGTATTTGTCCTCACACCCGACCTGCTGTACCCCAAAAGTCATGACTTCCCACTAGAACCCAGCCAGCTACCTAAGTAAATAGAGCCAGTTGTTAGTAAGAATCAGATTGGTATTCAGGTGTTTGCTTATAGGGATTAAATTTGATTGGATACAGGATCTCATCATGAGGTGGCATCGGTTAAAGAAGCATTGGAAAACCACCCAGGAGTATTCCATAACTGCTTCATTCTATTCTGGGAATCTTCATCAGTATACAATCCCTCCACGACTTTTGAACCCCCTGATTTTGCAGCTACAAGGTAAGCTAGTAGACCATTATGTCAGTGGGGCTGGATCCGATGACCAAACGTTGAATTCTCGCTTCTATCAATCCCAGTGGCTCCTGTATTGTCAATAAAACTATATGGTTATATACTACCCTCCCTAAATGAATGTATAACTTCAAAGTCATGTTACGACTAGAGATGTATGTCATTGTTGACTTATTTGTAATTATTCGCTTGAGAATAGTAAAATTAATTCTAACTACAGTGAGTATAACTCCATTATACAAAAGATTTTATTTTGATAAATCACAGTGTTGTTATACTGTAATATTAACTGATGAACACCTTTCGAGCACAATTTATTACTGCTCATAATCATATCAAGTTACTCACACTACTTTTTCTAACTTCATTTATATACATGAGTGGAATTGGTGATGATTAGACAATTAAATAAAAATCGACCAATATAGGATAATGTACATTCAGAAATAATAATGATAATAATACGAGTGTTATTGATCAAACCAATAGAATCAGATGGGAGATAAGACGAGGGTTTTTCTATAGTAAAAATAAATAAGGAACTTGTTAGAATGTTGTGATTTGTTTGAAGTGAAATAGAATTTTGAGATTATTTATTCTCTTCCTCTGATTTGACTGACTAAGTGACTGACTGACTGACCGACTGACTGACCAACTGACTGACTGACTGACTGACTGACTGACTGACTGACTGACTGACTGACTGACTGACTGACTGACTGACTGACTGGTAATAATATCTTCCATGCATATCTCTGGTATTGGCGTCGTCATTTCTGTTGTATGTGTTGGGTGTAGACTCGATGAACCAGGCAGGATTCAGAAATCAATCTCTCTATCTCCCTCCATCTACATAGATTACTTCTTAGAATCTTAACCCTCTCCCAGATTGTCGGAACATAAGAATTTAGCTAAGGGAAGAATGACTGACCAAGAGAAGATTACTAATTTAGAAAAAAGCTCAGCAATTGCATCACATACAATAACACAAAACCACACAATAGGTTGGGAGAGGGTTAAGATTCTAAGAAGTAATCTAAGTAAGTGGAGAGCGAGAGAGATTGATTACTGAATACAGGTTCATCGAATCTACATCCAACACAACACATGGAACAGAAATGACTCAATGCAAATACCAGAGATTTGGAAGGTATTACTATCGCCATTCAATCATATCAGAGGAAGAGAATAAATAATCTCAAAATTCTATTTCACTTCAAACAAATCACAACATTCTAACAAGTTCCTTATTTATTTTTACTATAGAAAAACCCTCGTCTTATCTCCCATCTGATTCTATTGGTTTGATCAATAACACTCGTATTATTATTATTATTTCTGAATGTACATTATCCTATATTGGTTGATTTTTATTCAAATGTCTAGTCATCAATTCCACTCATGTAATATAAATGAAGGAAAAAAACGTTGTGTGAGTGAGTGAGTGACTTGATATGATTATGAGTGGGAATATTGTGTGCTCGAAAAGTGGTCATCAGTAAATATTACTACTGTATAACAACACTGTGTGATTTATCAAAATAAAATCTTATCCATAATGGAGTTATACGCTACCACCACAGTGCCCAAGTTTTATACTCATATCCAATGATTATAATAAAATTAGGCTTTGAGTACAAAAATTAAACAGGAATATAAAATTATAATTAGCTAAGATGACTAAATCACGACAAAAGAAACACTTGTTTGCTTTCTTCATTTCATCATCATCATTATCATTCACCAAGCAAATCACTCAACACTAGCAAAGTGATTATTCCAAAAGTGTGAAAATGTAATTTTTTACACATTTACACACATCCACAGACAAAGAAAGAGAATCATTTGAAAATTATTACATAATAATAATAATAATAATAATTAGAAGAAGTAGGCCAGTAGTGAATTTGTTCTTACCTACTCCACCAGATGTTCCTATACGTATAAACAGCACATCATTACAACCAGCGTATTGTAATAATTTTGTAATTTCATGTATAGCAATCAATGTTGATGGTATACCCATGCCATGCTTTACAACAACAATAAAGAAATAGGAAGGGAAAAATAAGTGTAGATACAATGCAAAACAAATGAAAAACAAAGTAGAAAAATTAAATGTTGTTTATTTTTTGTTGTATTGAGTGTAAAGAGTGAGTAGTCCTTATTGAAAACAATAATAAATAACAAAAATGAAATTAAAACTTAACTAAGTATTAAGAAGAACTGAATTAAACTGAACCGAAGACAATTTTTGCGCATAGGACTTTAGACAAAACAATGCAGCAGTTCAGGTTGCTACACTTTATCAAGTACACAATTCTCAAACTAAGGCCTGTTTCATACTCAGGCTACGGAAAATAACCTACATCAGTCTACATAGCGTATAATTTCCCTTTTTATTCCGCTTGTTTAAATCCAGTAAAAATATGACCTGATTTTAGTGTATACTCTGGCGGTTATTTAAAACATTGACAACCTGTTGAATAACATGTTTCTAAACTAAACATGAGGAGAAGCATTATCCTCAATAGCAAGTTATTCGTATAAATGAGAGATAACAATTGCCCAGTGGTGTCACTGGTTCAAAAATATGCTTCTGAACCTGTTGTATCACTGGCAATCTAGAGAGAGAAAAAAAAGAGATATCATAATGGAGTGATCAACTCTTCAAGTAAGATAGAACTGTTTCACACAATCTATGGTCAGCTTATTTTATGTTTGAAGATGCTGGACAAAGAGAAAATATGATACCGTATGCTCCGCTGAAAACTTTATGCATTTTTCAATTGTTGGTTTGTAGGGATTTGATTGGTTACATGTGCTAACATTGGTTAGAGAACTGTTCCAAAACCAACAAGGAGTACTGGACAGCTGTTTCTTCAACCCAGTTTGGGACTCTCTAGCAGTACGCACCCACCGGGGCTCGAACCCAGGACCTTGAGGTTACAAGGTCAGCCAACTAGTAGACCATAAGGTCACTGGGACCCGTTCCAATGGCCCATGAATTCTAACCTCTGCCAATTCACGATATAGCCCAACCTCTAGCCGATGTCTTCGGCGAGTATTTGTCCTCACACCCGACCTGCTGCACTCTACTGGTCACAACTGCTCACTAGAATCCCAGGTAACTACTTACCTGAATAGGGCAAGTCGCTAGTGAGCATCTCATCGATACTAAGTGCTTTTTTCGTATTTTTATTTCATTTATGTTTCCATGGGGTTCCTAGTGGAACATACCTCATCAGCAATACACCTCCAGACTGTTCTATTTACTGCTGTCTTTTTTAGCTGGATCCACAAATGCCCATGGTCTCTCATCTCCTCCCCTATGTCACCCTCACACTAACGACCTACCCATCCCTTCCTATTGGGATCCCACTCGAGCAATGGCATGCACTGAACACGACCTCATTCGACGGCCTTCTTAGCGTATGCCCAATCCATCTCCATTTTCTCTTACATATATGTTGAGCAATCGGCTGTTGGTTGGTTTGTTCACAGTCACAGTTACCTGTTGCTAATTCTTTCTAGCCGGCTGGCCATTTGATCTTCAATAGGGGGTCAGTGAAGCGGGCAGCTGTTGCTAAATGTCTGCAACCTGTTGGGAATCCTCTTTTAGACACACAGTGCAAGTTTCTAACCACTATAGAAGAAGTACCTGACTCACTGACTGACCTAATATTGGTGTTGGATGTCGGAATCTTGTTCTTCATTCTGAGGTGGAGTGTAGAAGATTTCAAAACCGATTTCAGATTGATGAAAGCATATCTTGCCTCTCCGATTCTGATTGGCTGCCCTTGACATTTTCATCTGTGCTGTCGGTTGTAGTTCAAACAATGTTCTCTAGATAAGTCAAAGAAGTAACTGCTTCCAGATTTCTCCTGCTGACGGCGATTGGCGTTTTATATTTTTCTTTGGTTATTCTCATCACTTCTGCCTTCTCTATGTACACACCTGGAGTTCTTTTTTCACCAGCCGCCTGCTTCTTCTGCCATTTTGTCAGTTTTCGCCGGCCTGTAAGTCTTTGAGTTTGTGTCACGTTAAACATAAATCATCCACACACGAAATCCATATATTCTGAAGTTTTCTTATTGGATCCATATTACCAATAACTACTTGGTTATTGTCAATGTCAGATAAAGCAGTGATAAATACAACATCCACCACAAAGTTCTATATCCCTCTCTTTATTGAAAAAAGAGCCTATCTTAAACTAAGTGCTGTACAATAAATCAGGATGTCAATATAAAACAAAACTAAGCACAGAAGATTTGTCTCATCTTAGTATGGCACCCTTTACAGCAGCGTCAAGACGACAATTCCAATAGAGATCGAACTCCTCAGACTACTGGCCAACCCACTGATTCGTGAATTCTAACGTCTTTTAATTCGTAGTATAATGCTAAAACCAACTAATGCTATCGATGAACATTCGTTTCATACCTGATGTGGTGAATCCTTCTTATCACGACTTCCACTTTATTATGTAAATGCATGTATTATATGGAAAAAGCTTCACATATATCCAGGAAATATGACCCATTAGTAAGCTAATAAGTGTGTATGTTTATCGGGCTAGAGTGTTTTCTAGAATTCTGCTTAATAGGATGGTGTCGCCACAATGTTTTGCAATATTTTTAAGGCATTATACAACGATTTATTCGTCAGAATAACCACATTCAATCCCAATTTTCCAAACCATAAATTTTGCCTAGAACAAATTCTTCACAAATGTAAATTCTGTATATGTTTTCAAAGGAAAATGAAAGAATAGATTTGTGGTAACGATGCTGACTGCCATACCAAGTGTTACATTTTGAGCTCTATCATTTATCGAATAATTGATTCACTAGTCGTTATGAAAAACACTTTGAGACCATTCATCAGATCTGGTGCAAACGCTAAGTTGTGGTTGCTATTCACCAACTGAAATTGAAAAAAACAGAGTGATTCGGCAAATTGTTGCATGGCTGATACCAATGCTACCGGCATACACAATCAAGATGCATCGTCATTCACGGCGGAAGGCAGGCACATCCAAATGATGAGTCCCAAATAGGACGAAATGTGCCACTTACATTCCATCCATCAATTAACTCCTTTTATTATTCAATGTTGTACAATATAGTTCAATATACCTTCCTATTGAGTACTAAGGTTAACCTTATTTTAAGTGTTCGTATGCCCAATGGTTAAAAAGGCACCATTTCAGTGTGTACCTTCAAAGTCGTACAGTTCTTAAAAGGAACGATTTTACAGCCTTCCTTGAACCTCAAATTTTTGAACGATTAGGGGGATAATCCTTAATTCTAATAAAGTGCTCTTAATATTGACTGACAGTAACCACTAACCACTGTCGATTAAATCTTAAAAAAAAACAAGATGGTGGGTATTATTTAAAGACTTCAGAAAACTCAAAGTCCAACAATTGTCTTCTTGTACTTTGTTTTTGTCCTCAAATAATTAGTAGCATTAAAACATGATAGAATGAATTCAAATGTAACAGAAATGAATTACTTGATTAATTAGTATTTCCACGAATATTATTATTATTCTACATGGTCACATCTCCAGTATTTTGGGATGGTTCAACAGTATGACCCTTGTGACTGACTATAAAGTCTTTTGTGGAATAAATTTTAACAGACAGGGAAAGCACAAAAGTTAAAGTTCAAATGCTACTTCTAAACATTTCAAGTTTGTAATTGTAGTTGATATAGGGTTACGTTGGAAAAGACAGAGGGATAACCATATCAAAACCTGATACCAATCCATAAAATCTTTGAGATGGGGGGTTTAAGATACAAATAGAGTTGTAGAATGTCTGGTTGGTGTCCTCAGGATGTTAAGATTCAATGACTTAAGATTAATGGTAACATAGGTTGAATTTGTTGTCTGTGACATAGATGCACTCACTCTTTCTTAGCTTTCAAATTCACTGAACCCACATGTTTCTCCTTGCTACTATTCTTTCTACTGGACGTTACTGCTTATTACATTCCTTCTCAAAATATTTTTTCTTGCTTTTCTCTATTTTATGTATCCCATGAAGTGCAAAAACTTGAACTACCGCAACTCATGGACGAATTTCCATATTAAAATTCAGCCAGTCATTTGAAGACCATCATAATATCTTCCCATCTAGCTTGATGACTTTATTGTAAAATTGATGGACAAACATTAATCAACTTAGAAGATATATATATATATACCTATTTCTCCCTCCAGACAGAGAAAAATTTAAACCACGCGTCATTCTCTGACGACGTGCGTGTACCTTCTGAGTGGAAAATAGGCCTTCAAGCTAGAGCTTTCAATTTTTGGTATCTATGGGTTTTTCTACTTTTTCGAGGTGGAGTTGTTAGCGAGGTTTAAGAGTGCGTTAGTTGCTGGGGTTCGACGCTTGAGCCACTTTCGTGATTGACGAGCGTTCTACCAGTGAACAACTGACACACGATCACATAGCATACTTAGATACAATATTAATTATTACGAAAGTCTCTTAATATGTATTAGTTTCATCCCAATTGAGGTAAACTGTTCTTTAAGTATTGAGTGTGTTATTATAATTTCGCCATAGAACAAAAACAGACTTACATCAACAAACAATGTTCGATCCACTTTGAATAGTACAAATCTTGCAGCTGCACCAGCTATATTTTCTGGAGGTGTTTTCTGTCCAGCTTCTTCAGCCATAGCTGTTGCAAATTTAATTATTCTGCCAGCACTACCACAAGTACAGACAAACTGTTAAAATATAACAAAGTTAAATATAAAATATTGATTGGTTTGAAGGGGAATAACTAACTAATATTTTGTGTGTGTGTGTGTGTGTTAGTATTGTCGATGACTGGATTCTATCAGTCACGTTTGCTATGTGTTAATCAGTCTGTGATGCATCATCACGGTACATTGTAAGCTTATTTCTGTTGGTTGTGGGTAGTCGACAAGAAGTCAATGGAAATAATTTTTGTGCCCATTGGTACTCAGTGGCAGTGACATATCTAAGAACTCGAAGCACATTAATTCCCTGAGAACCTATATTGCTGGCTTTGGTTTCAAGTAGAACATAAGGCTTCAACAACCCATCTATATCTCACTGTGTTCTTTGTGGTCTTGCTTATCTAACCATAAGATTCCCTCTAAGGTATCATCTCCTCCCCACATGAGTTCCTCTATGTTACCTTCTGACTAACTCACAACTCATCATTTCTTATTCTGGGGTCGTTTGAGCTATAGTCTGGTGCACTGTATCATTCAGTCGCCTCCTCACAGTGTCTCCTATCCATCTCTGTTTTCTTCAGGATATTTCTTGGGCAAACGCTTTTTGATTGGTCTCTTACCAGAGTTACTTGCTTCTCATTCTTTCTCGTCAACTGGTCTTCAATATGGAACCAGCAGTGGCAGCAATGTTAACGAAAGTCTACAGCAACCTGTTCAGAAATACTTTTCGTGCATCAGGCCATTGAGTCACATCGAAGCATTAACTGGCCCTGAACATTGGAACTAAAAATTCGGATTTTATTTTTTTTTATACGCTAAATCCAGTCGATTTTCACCCGGATTTCAGAGAAATGGAGGTCTTGCTTGCTTTCTTGATCCTGCCTGCGACATTCCTGCCTGAGGTTACGTCCTTCAGATTTTTCCTGTTGATGATGTCTATGGCTGTGAAATCCGCAAATGTAGAAATACCAAATATGGTGTGATAGAATCCTTATATTTAGTAGCTGTAAGAGCATGAATTCCTATGGAGTTTCTGCTAGTTTTACCCGAAGATATACAAGGAAAAAGCTGTAAATAATGGGGATGTTCGGTATTCGACAAGATGCCTATTGACAATAATGTCAGTTAGTTAGTTAGATGGGTCGAAGCCACATCACAAATCCTGCTTAAAGTCTTCAGAGTTCTACGTAGTACGATATTAGTTGTTTTTGAGAAGTCCAGGGCGAACAATAAAGAAGTAGAATAGGCGGAATACATGAATTAATTAATTAATTCTGAGAGAAGATGTTGAGTTATTCCAGCAGAAGGTCTCAACTTGCTTATGTAATAAGTCAAACAAAAATTTACTTTCTTAGAAAACAACAGGATGTGAGAAGATTAACAGAGATTCGAAGAGAAACTGATGCCGTGATAAGAGATAATCGATTGATTTCCTATCATAGTGCCTGCCGTCAATATCACAGAAATCATGGGAGTGGATTAGTCCATGTAAGTCTTGTTCACATCTGAAACTAAAATCAATAATGTAGCATTTAGATGGATCCAGTTTAAGACCATTTAGGCTAGACCACTTCATAACTTTAGATAAGAATCTGTTAGTATAAGAACAATTTAATGAAGAAACCAGTGGGACAGAAATGGTTAGATCTTTGGCGTATCTAATGAAATTCGCTTAAGAATAATTATACGGAAGGTCATGCAAAAAGAAAGAAAGAAGAAAGGAATGGAGAGGGTAGAACTCCTTGTGATACATAATTTCCCGTTAGCACCGAAGTGAAACGCTTTCCATTCAAAACAGTATATTGTTTTCTACAAGAAAAAAGTAAGAAGACAACCCACCTTGCAGCCCAGGATTCTGCATTGCCTGAAATCAGTTTGCTTCGTAAAATTGCCTTAGGAATAGAGTCAAAAGCAGCAGTATAGTCTAATAGGGGGCTTGAACAAACCGTGCACCTTTATCAAGAATCGAAACATTATTGTGGTGGAGTACAAAGACAGTACTTCTACTGGATATGCATAAGCAAAATGCTATGGGTTATAATAAGTTTTCAAATAAGGTGTAGGAATTTCGATCCTGAAGTGTTTCAAGAATAGACATCAATACAGTGAATAACAATTCAAGCTATCTCTGTTGCATAGAACGTATGCCAAATATGGTATCTCTGAGATTTTGTACTCTGTTGTGCCAGCAAATATATATGGTCTTTTTTAATAACTTTCAGTCTTATCTGATGAAATGCAGGGCAGGGAGAGTTCAGAATGCGGGGGGGGTAGGGGTGTTAAGAGTGAGACAATATGGATTTAGCTCATTTGTCAAATGAATTATTCAGATGTCTGCCGACTTAGTGACACACTACTTGCCCTACTGACAACCTTGAAAACACTGCTTAATATGATATAGTCCTATTTTCAGTAGCTCAGAAATGAATAAGAGGGAGAAGTAAACCACAGCAGGTAAGATGTAAGGGTTATTCACCTGTAAATATAGAGGTTGAATGATTATATGGAACACATTTTTAGAAATCGATAAAAAGGTATTCCACGGTATTTTATGCTTGACATTAGTGCCATCCATGCTATCAGCATTCTGCTAACGAACCAGTTTTATGTAAATCACATTATGTATCCCCGAAAGTGATGTTAACTGTCTGAAATTTAGGGGGATTAATGATAAGATCATTAAACCGCTTGTTCAATCATTGGACTACCTAGACTAACCCATCTAATTTATCGTGTTTTATGTGTATTTATGCATCAAATAACTGTAGAACTTGAAGAAGAAATTGTCGAAAATAGACATTTTTAGCTTTTCTATAGTTTGGTTTGTAAGGGTTAGTTATGTTTATTTCGTGTTGATCACGGATTGATATCAGTTAGAGAACCACTGAAAACCAGGGAGTACTGGACAGCACCCACTGCGATTCGAACCCAGGACCTTCCGGTTACAAGGCAAGCTGGTTCGTATACCATTCAGCCACTGGGACTCGGAAAAAAACAACATAACTAACCTTTACAAACCAAACTATAGAAAATTAATCTGATGCTCGCTAGTGACTTGCTACAACAGGATGGAGTTTCTTGGAGTTCTAGTGAGAAGTCATGACCAGTGAGGTTCAATTAGATGTCACATGTGTGGATGGATGTCCCACCAACGATAATGTTTGGGGTAGAAGTTAGAATTCATTGATTTACCCATCAGTCTTTTAAAATTTACAATATAATAACAATAATGATGTAATAATGTTTACAAGTGTATAAATAGAGTACTTACCTTGACATCACCGAATTTCTCTTCAAAATTAAATGAATTTGTTGATATTCCAAGATGGTATAAAACATCTTCTTTAAGATTATGTAAATGTTTGTTTGTAAAGTTTGGATGAGAATTTGCCATTTTTTTTTGCTGCTAAGTTGTATTCTATTGTATTGTAGTATAAATAATATTAAAACACAAATGTTTTAGAATGATATATATATATATATATATATATATATATATATATATGCACAGCTCTAATGAGAGACTTAAACATGGTTAAAGAAGTGTTAATTCCATACGAAAATATGATTGGTTCGATGTCATTAGCATTAACTACCAATCACGGAAGTGAGGATACACTTGATATGTTTACTAAAATAAACTTACTGTTGAATAAAATGATTTTTCTGTTGTGTATCAAAGAATGAAGAATTGTTCGCCACCGATTTATTAAAAGGAATTATATATCCTCACAAAAAGAAAAAAGCAAATTAACTGATATAGCATTGCAATCTATGTTTAAAATAATCAAAGTAAATCATTAAATTATTGATTAGGCTATTTGAATTAATTCCATATTAGTTTGTTTATTAGGTGTATCACACAGTGAAGAAACAGTATTATTTTCTGGATGATAATGTTTCGAACAAAATTTATTGTGGTTCATAATCATATCATCGATTATAATCACACAATTTCGAAACTTGAGTGTTATAGTTTTCTTTGTTTTCTCCTATTTATCGTCGTAGGGATAGTAGAATTTTCCAGATATCTGGGTTGGCAGTTTTTGAGTCATTCCTATTACATGGATTTGCAGTCGATTCGATAAACAAAGCTTCTCCTTATAATCTCTCCCTCCACCCTTTGGCATTAGATTTTAAAACTGTCGTCTCCTCTCATCCTACTGTACAATTTTGTGTAGTTGTATGTAATGCTATAGCTGAACTGTTCTCCAGATTTCTTTTCATATTCTGGTCAACCAGTCTAGATTTAGCTAGATTTTTATGTTCGGCTAGTCTGACTGCCCCTGTTCTACTAGTTTGACCTATGTATTTGACCTGACAATCATTCCAGCAGTGTATTAGATAAACTCCACAGGATCCGCTAACCGACAAAGCTTGTTTCGAATTGAGTTTGTGGATTTGAATGCCGGCCACTTTTATTCCTCCCTGAATTGTTAAGAATCCTGCGTAAGGTTTCTGAGGTTCTTTGCTTGTATGTAATTACTGATGATGATTTAAATTCCCAATTTTCGGTGTTGCCATTATCCTGTGCATGTATGACCTGCATGTCATCATTAATATTACTATTATTATTATTATCACTATCACTACTACCATTATATATTCTATTCTTGCATTTCCCTACATATATTCTGACTAATTTATCAGGGTAATTATTAAGCTGCAAAGCTTCTCTTATATGCCTCACTTCCTGTCTTACATTTTCCTTGGTACTACTTAGTTTTTGTGCACTATTACTTTAGCATTTCACCAATCCTATTTTCACTGGAATAGGATGAAATGTCGGAAGTCCAATATGTGTGGGTTTCCTGTAAACACTAGTGTTTAACTTCCCATCTTCTTTCCTTTTAATTACGCTACAATCTAACATTGGAAGCTCCCCTTCCTGACTTTCCAATTCACAAGTGAATTGAATTGCCTCTACCTTCGAGTTGATGTGCTCGAAAAATCTATCTATATCTTGTTTTCTGAGTAAAGTGAATGTGTCATCTACATATCTCCGCCATACTTTTCGGGTGGGAATGAACGTTTAAATCGCTATCTTTTCCCACCTATCCATGAATATATCTGCTACAACCGGGGATATTGGTGATCCCATGGCTACTCCCTCAGTTTGTTCGTATATTTTCCCTTGGAATTTCAATAATGTGGAAGTCAGGCATAGCCGTACTCCCAGCATTATGTCCCCAAGTGGCACTTTTGTCCTAAGTTCGAGTTCTTGGTCAGAAATGAGTTCGTTTCTGACCACCTCTATAGCCATATTTATTGGTATACATGTATATAAACTGACAATGTCAAAACTAACCATTTTTTCTTCATTATCTAATTTTAAATTATCTAATCTGTGTTTTAGTTCATAAGAATTAGTTAGTCTAGATTTCGAGTGGATTTTTAGGGGATTTAATACCATGGCTAAATATTTAGGTAATTCATAGGTAGGTGAATTTCTAAAATCAACTATAGGCCTAATAGGGTATCCTGACTTATGAATTTTAACAACACCATACATCCTACTGGGGTTATTAGTTTTTGGTATTAAATTAAACCACTTAGACTCACCTAGAAACGGCTTCATTCGGCGTATAAGGTCCGCTGTGGATTTCTTAACTTTATTCATAACTGTGTCTATTGATTTATTAGCTTCCTCATGTGGTCCTGCTTGTATGTGAGTATTTACCTTGTCCAAATAGTCCGATTTGTCTAATACTACTGTTGCGTTTCCTTTATCTGACTTTGTGATTACTATATCCTTGTTATTCTTAAGGTTTTTTAGGGCTTCTAACCCTGGTTTTGTCATGTAGCCGTTTTAATGTTAGCGTACATCGGGCTCGTACTTCATCAGCTGTTGTTTTGTCTATCCCACTTAATGCTTTTTCTATTTTAGGGATGACATCCTCAGGCTTCAGCTTGTCTACCCCTACAAGGAAATTTAGTCTCTTTTCTAATACACTTATTTCTGTAGGACTTAATATATGTGTTGAGAGATCAATGATCCACTTTGTTTGATCGATCACCGTTGACTTAGGATTGTTGATTTCATCGTTCTGAGATGAAGATTTCTCCTCTAATAACTTGTTGAACTCTTTGATTTAAAATGGCCAAATTTTGTGTATTATCGATCTCATTCAAAAATTTGGTTATATAAAAATGTCATGTTTCAGGTGATCCACAATGGGAAACTTAGGGAAGCGTTGACAGCGAATATAGAAGTAAGACAAGTCTGCCTATTTGCTATCACCGATGATATTTTTAATTGTAGTGGACTGGATAATGCTGAAGACTGTGCGTTTTCAGTGAGAAGACAGAAATACGCTGGACCATTAATAAGAAGACTCTAGAAGATGTGGATTTCGCATCTTGATGATTGATGTTTAATGTTACACAAACTCAAAGACTTACAGGCAGGCGAAAACGAAGAAACTGAGAGAAGAAGCACAGAGAGAGCCGGCGAAGACAGGAATCTAGGTGAACGCAGAGAAGACGGAAGCGATCAAGATAACTAACCAACAAAAGAAAATATCAGTCACCGTCAACGGAAACATCGCTTCAACTCCAGGGGGTGCTGATATGGATGAAGATGTCGTAATTCAGAATTAGATAGGCAAAAAAGATCTAGGAATCGGTTTAAAAATTAGGCTAATTCCATTCTGGTTGTGTGCGAAATGAATTGGATGCTCTAGAACATACGGCTACTGATTACTTCGCAAAGATTTTTTAATCTAATAACCACAAGATAACAGAGGATATCCTGTTTATTTCAATACCCTGCACTTATCCATATGTACAGATACATACATAGATAATAATAAATGTACATGTATATAGACAAGCTTTCATTACTCTCAAGTCTGTGCGGAGGTCAACAGCAATCAGCATCAAAAATAACATCCGGATTTTCAACTCCAATGTGAAGTCAGTGCTACTATACGGATCAGAGACTCGGCCAGCGCATCATAAAGACCATCTCAAACAAACTACAGACCTTCATTAAAAGTTGTCTTTGCTCAATACTCAAGATCAGATGGCCAGAAAAGATTAGCAACAGGGGTCTCTGGCAATGAGCGAACTAACCAGGAACCGATTGTGAAACAAATACGCAGGAAGAAATGGAGGCGGATTGGATTGGCCATACTCTGAGGAAACCATCAAGTAATATCACTAGACAAGCCATAGCTCGAATGGAACCCGAAAGGGAAGCGGCGAGTTGGTCGTCAGTGCAAGGGTGACTTGGATGAGGTCATGTAAGGGGGAGATGAAAGCATGTGTGCAGACGTGGAGCCATGTGAAAACTTTAGCAGAGAACCGAACGCGACGGAGACGCACGGCTGAAGCTCTATGTTCCTCTGGAAATTAAAGGAAATAATAATAATAAACCAACCAGCTCAGAGTACACTATTAATAGCAAAAAATAATGTATAAAGACACAAAGATATGTACTGATATACATACGTGGATTAACATACAAGATGAACTCACTGACACACTGAAGTCTCTGCAAACTTACACTTTCACTGAGATTCAAACGATCCACATCTCCATCCTTCCCACTCTCACTCTCTCTAGCCCGTTGTACATCGCCAGCTCGCTGTTGTTCAGACACATACTGTCTGACACTCACTCACACTTGACACCACTTATTCAATCTCCTTGCTGCTCCATGTCAACATATATTGTAAACATACATCACATAGACACATAGAGACGTAAGTACCAGTTAAAGACAGTCAGCTATAAAAAACGTCAGATCTAGTCCCATCTGCTGCACTCCCTCTACTCTACCTTGCTCACCTCAACTCAACACCAAGCAAGCGATACAGACAAGTCTTCATTTCTCACAAAAATGCTCATATGCATACAACGAAGCATAGACGATGCGTGAAATCGCGACAAACATTTAATCGCGAATCACTTCTACCACCTTATCCCCAAACCACCGAAAACCCTACTTACTCATCTTCCTACCTCCTTATTCCCCCTTACCTCTGTCTCACAGATATTCTAATTTCTGTTATGCCAATCTCACCTAGTCTGGCTGGCTACACACCATTTCTTTATTCCCCCAATACACCGGTGCTCACAGTGACACTGAACACTTTCACCATTTATCCCATCATAGTGAACTCAGTAAGTAGATCAAACAGTCAACTAACTATCGAGGATTACAAGCAATCATGGTGTAATTAATGATAAGGTTAGTAAACAAAATCGTAATCATAATAATACCAACAGTAATATTGGTGATGACGATAATGATGATAGTAATAATATTTATAATAGTAGTAGTATACTATTTTTATGGACACTCCTACTACTATTATCATTACTCTTAATTTTGAGGGAGCAATGGAAGGGAATCCAGAGAGAAAAGCAGGTGTAGATTCACTGAATTGTATTGAATGTGCAAGTCTGAAAAGGATTCAGGGTTTGAGTTATTCATGAATATATATATATATATATGCATGAGAGTGTATATTGAGGGTGTGGT